GTGCCTCAAGCGTCTCCCCCACGGGCTGCTCTCCAGCAACCTCCAACCATTGTCTGTCATTCGTCCAGTATTTACAGCTGTCATGGGCAGAAGCGTCACCCTGGCACAAGTGACTCCATCGGGGTCAGAATCGCACGTCTCCTTCCCACATTTCCCCATCACTAAGGCCGGCACCTATCTGCCAAAGAGCTCTTGGACCCAGTCCCTCTGTCCCTCTGCACAGCTGACACCCTTGTCCTGCCGCCCTCCCCCTCTGCACAGCCTCACCCACCTCGGACACGGTTGCCCCTCAAACACTCTTGCTTCCCCCCACTCCAACTCCCATCCCGAGGGCAGAAGGACTGGTTTGTAAACATATATGTGATTGTGAAAGTCCCTCTGTGTGGGGTCCTGGCTTCCATCTGTGATCCCCTGCTTTCCCAGGGTGAGGTCCAGGTTTCTCACCACAGGCCACGAGGCCCTATGGGACGTGACCCGGCCACGTTCACCAGCTCATCCCCTGCATGTCCTTGCTCCGGCCGCTCCAACCTCACCCTCCTCGGCCCTTTGAATGGGTTGCTTCCTCTGCTGGAAGGCCCTCTCCAGGGGCTCGTCACCTTTCACTCCTCAGCCATCAGGGTCTAGTTTAGCTGCTGCTTTCTCTAGAAGCCCTTCGCTGAGCTCAGTCAAGCATGCCCCCGGGGTCCCACAGACCCTGCCTTGCTCACCCCTGCCCGGCCCCTTTGCCTGTGCCTCTCGGGTCCAGCCCTGATTAGTCTCAGCAGACTCATCTGGTGGTTGGGTCTGACACCATTAGCTCCCCGCCCCACACACTGAACTGCGAGGCCCACGGAGGCGAGGCCCAGTCTTGATCAGTTCTGTGTCCCCAGCATTACATAAGTACAGCATGTGATTTAACCACAGAAAGTTAAGATGGCATTAGAAGTCGGGGTAGAGGCATATCAATTATTAGATTTCTGAATTGACAGAGGGTGTCCCAAGCTCCTTGGGGATCCGTGATCATGCCCAACTTTCTCCCTAAAATGCTCATGTCCCCAGGATCTAGCGTGAGGGGAAACATCAGGCCAGCCGAGGCCCACCTGGGATCTGTTCCTGCACTGACCACAATTGTTAAATATCTTGTTTGTCGTCTCTGATTAGATGCATTCCTTAGACCCAAGTGTTGGTGCTTTCCTTAAGCACATCTACCTGAGAAAGGAAGCCAGTGTCTTCTATTCTGACACTTCCTTAAAAATTGCCAGGCGCCGTAGGGCACTTCTACAATCCCAGTGACTCAGGAGGCCAAGGCAGGAGGATTGCAAGTATGAGGGCAGCCTCAGCGAGA